ATATTCACTGAATTTATTTATAAAACATTTAGTTTTTTCTTTAAATATCCTTTTCATACAATCGTTCCACCAATTGATCAAATTTCCGGACGAATCGTATTCACTACCTGTTGTTCAACATATTTACATGTTATTTACCATAACATTACAACCACCAGTATCTTAGAATTATAATTATCTATTTATCCATAGATATCTATTAACATTTATACCTTGATCATCAAAACCATGTGTAAATTCGTGTCCAATAACCTGCATATTAAACCATTTATTAGTTACGATAGAAATAAGTTATATGAATTAAAATATTAATATCTACCACTCCTATGGACCCAAAGTTGAGATAAGGGGGCACTTGATTGCGGAAAAAGGGAGGACTCAATATACCGGCCGGTATTGCTGTCAATACAATATAACATAGAATTATTAATAATTATAATTAATAATTGAGAAATATCTACTAATGGTGTTTTGTGTTGGATCGTAATATGCATTCACTTTTGCTGGATATGTGGGCCAACTGTTAATCAATATAAATTGAATTATTATTCAAATTTATTTAATTAAACTATAATTACTTTAATGTTATATTAATAGGTTTGCGTAACTGTTGAAACATATTATACACAGACATTGTCTGCAAATAAAGCAAACTTTCAAACGCTTTTCTTTTGTCAACAATTTGTGTCTAAAAATTGAGATTAACAACAATTTGATTAATTAAATTTCAAACAATTAATGCCAATAATTACCAAATTATACAATTTATCCAATTCTTTGTTATCCAACAACCAATCGGGATAACCAATGTCTTCATTGATTGCATTCAATTTTTCAATTGACTTATTCCTCGTCAAGTCGTCTAACCATTCATTATCTTTCAGCGCTCGTCTCATTGCTTTCTTTACATATTTCACCACAACTTTGACCTAAAAATACATAAAAATAAATTAAACTCTCAATAAATATAATTATTTGTAAGATAACGATAAGGGATCACCTCTTGTCGTGATATATCACTGAAATAATTGTCCACATATTTCCTGCTGTAAGCGAAGGGTAGATAACTATTGAGTGAATCGACGCAATGCTTTCCCAGAGGTGTCCACGTCTTGACCCCTTTGGCCACTGAATTGAACACAAACTCAATTTGTCTAAATCTGTGGGTCGTATAAACAGCCATTCGTTTAACAGTGAGCCAACCCAAGTGGTTAGCGATAACACGGGGAGGAGTGTTGACCACCAGTCGTGTCACCTCCCGATAGTAGGCCATGTCGTCCACAACCAGCCTTTCCTTCGGGTTTAATGCAATATTTGAATTGAATTTCTTATAAAGTCGTTGTGTTATTGCTTTCCAATCCAATCGATTGCCTGTCATTGCGTTAAAACTGTTGAATGTCATGCGATTGTACCAAATCTGTGATTCCCGCATGTCTTCCGGTTTTGTCGATAACTTTTTTAATTAAATAAAATGTCATATTTTATAAGTGTTTAAATTGTTGACAAATTTGTCAATACTTTTGCCAATTTTGATTCAAAAGCAAATAATTCTCGGATATCATTATGTGTTTGATTGTCATTATAAGCGCCCAAAAGTAGGGCCGACTCCAGTATATACTGTTTATATGCGTTTACAATGTCGTAATATAGACTAGTATTGACCAATTGATTGCGACCCAAACCAAACTCCGGGACACTGAACTGAATGCAAATGTTTTTATTTAAATAATTTTTGAAATTAATGCAATTAGTTATGAAATATTAAACATACGTATAGAATATTTGTATTTGTTTGATTTGCATCCGGCAAAACGGCAACTTGAAACAAAGCTGGCAATCCTACATATTTTGCTTACAATTAGACAAAAAGCAATTGATTAATTTAAGTCTAACCAGTAAAAACATAAAGGTTGGTAAACGCCTCAACCAAATCGTATTTGTTGGGATCAAACTGCGATCGGCGACCCATTAGAGGCCAACCGCCCATTCGGTTCAGTAGATCAACCAGTGGTCGAATGCCTCGCAATTCAAGAGTTTCTAACAAATAAACAACATTTTAACCAAAAATATGCACAAAACGTGTGAACACAAAACCATTATCACTGCAGGCGGTGTAGTAGTCGAGAGCGTATCGGACAGACATGGCGTCGGCGCGACCGCCCGTCCTATTCATCTCATACATCATAATGTTGTCCAACCGGTCGTCCAACTCATCCAACCGTAGATATCGTGACAAGTGTTGCGGTATTCGATGCGATCGTTTCCAACCGCCGC